ACCTCTGCAATGACAACTATTTGCAATTGCTTGCTCTCCCCTCGCATCCATGCCCGAGCCGACGTATGGTAATCAGTAGTTTCAACGCCTAAGTAGGCGCAGACCACAGAACTAGGAAAGTGTGTTGTTTTCGCGAAATGGCTCATTACAATGCATTTAGATTCATTCCGTTAGGGAGCAGTGTAGGACGCGACCTCGTCAACGGCACCCTCTTTTAGCTCGACCGCAGGATCCTGTCAATGACAGCTGGTGAATTAAGTGATCATTTTTGCATGCTGGCTATAAGGACGGAGCAAAATGCCAAATGTTGGACTGATACTCGTCTTGTCACCGCGAAAATGAAACTGCGTAACCTACGGAGATGATGGCCTGACGGGTGAATTCGACCGGAAAAACGAAAAAAAGAAAACAATGGGGCTGCCTAAATGCAAGTGAGAACTCCAAAAAATTAACACGGATTACACACAAATCCCATACACACCACGGTAACTAAATTCATCGGACCTGCAGGCCGATGACCTTTTGACTGCTGCGATAACAACGACGACGTGCTGCAACGACTGTGCGAGGAAATCCAACCCTTCGGGATCTACTTAAATGATACCATGACTCCAAAAAATTCCATTCTTCCAAATTCATCGTAGTAAATAGTGAAGTAGAAACAAAATATTGGTTGACTTCCAAGGCGATCAGTTCCAAGAGTGCGCAAGTCGTGTTGAAGTGGGAAGCTTCTTTGCGCCCAAAAGTGCGGTCAGCGGTTCTCAAAGCACTACCACCCCACTGCCAATCAACTTTGATGAAACAACCATTCTGACTGGGAAATTACAGACCCGAGCCTCTGAACACACTAGGTGCGCCATCAACCGCTCACCAGTCCTGCGTGAAGGAACAATAAACACGGTTTCACGAATGGAGAATCACGTTGACCTCGATCGCCCACCAGTCCATAGCCAAAGAACTCCAGTATATGGCCATGAAAAAAATCACGGAATTTCTTCTCATTTCAAACCGACATATAGAAACACGATCGCCCTCAGCTCATTAACAAGCTTATCTGCGCCAGTTCTGTATTATTTCCAGGGCACGCTCACACTTCGTTCGGACAAAGGAAGCGGGTGGGTATAGGACAACCACAAGAGAATCTTACCATATAATACTGGCAAAAGTTTCACGTAGTGCTACTCAGTCATCCGGATCTGCATAGAACGGATCTGACTTCCAAAAATAGTCGTGAAACTATCAACGTAATCTTCGAACCCCAGAAAGGCATGAAAAATGTAAATGAATAAGAGTTATCTCATATATCATTGTTGGTTTCACCAAAGGTAATCGAGGCTACCTCTGGCGATTAATTCGGACATTGGATTGCCCCATGCGGTTCACAAAGATTG